CAGCAGAACTCGACAACACACTAACTGAAGTCAGACACAGAAGTAACTGCGAAGATGCTCCATGTTCTATTCAGGGAGATTTTGGAGGAGCAACAAGTGCTGATAGACTGGAAAAAAGCACGCCTCATCGAGATACCAAAGAAAACAATATCTGAGCAAGTGTGAAAACTACACAGGCATTATTACCAGGAAAACATTTCAACGGAGTGTTGCCTAGCCGGTTAATTATCTTCGAGATCAATAAACCGAATTCCGTAAGGATAGGTCTTCCACACACATAATCGCCACACTACGGATCATCGCCGAACAATCAGTTGGATGGAACTCTTCACTATACATCAACTTCATTGATTATGAGAAGGCATTTGACAGTGTGGATATGAGAGCATTATGGGAACTCCTTCGACACTATCGAGTACCTGAGAAGATTATCCGGAACACATACAACAGACTACAGTTCAAAGTCGTGCATGGAGGACAGCTGACAGATGCATTCCAAGTGAGGACCGGAGTCAGATAAAGTTGCTTGCTCTCTTCTTTTCACTTTCTCCTGGTTTTTGACTGGATTATGAAGACCTCGACATCTTGGGAGAAGCACGAATTACAATGGACAGCGTGGATGCAACTAGACGATTTCGACTGCAAGAGTAGGCCTCGAAACGCACAAAGGAAGTAGAAGGATCGTCGAATACAACACGAAGAACACTAACCCAATCACTTGATGGAGAAACGCTGGAAGAGGTGGAAACTTTCACGTTGCCAAGTAGCGTTGTCGGTGAACAAGTATGATGGGATGTAGACGGAAAGGCAAGGATTGACAAAGGAAGAGTGGCATTACTGGAGTTGAAGAACACATGGAACTCAAAACAACTGTCAATCAATATCAAAGTGAGAATCTTCGATACAAACGTTAAAACAGTTCTACTGTATGGAGCTGAAACGTGGATAACTACTATAATCATCACCAAAAAGTATTTGTAAAAATTTGTCTACGAAGGATACTGAATATCCACTTGCATGGTACCATCAGCAACAACCTCTGTAGTGAACAAGAACACCAGTGGGGAACAATCGGATGTATTTGACGCAAAATTACTGGACTTGTTAATAAAATCTAACATCATATAGTAAATGCTTAATTTCCAAAATGTCCATCAATTGTCTCAAAATGACTAAGACTTTATTGCATTTCTATACAAATTGCATTCTATTTCCATTCTTTGTTGTTCAATCCTCTTGTTTCTCTGCTACCAGACATTTTGTTCACGACCAACTTCATATGCTACTTATGTCGATATAAGTAGCACGCATCACACCTCCTGTAGCAGATACCAGTTGAAGAAGAAATTAGGATAGGACATTGGAGGTGGCTAGGACATACAGTACGGAAATCACCAAACTATCACGAGGCAAGCGCTAACTTGTAATAGAAAAGAAGATCAAGGAATACATTGCGATGGGAATTTGAAGTAAATAACTACGTAGTGTCAACTATATGGTGTGATATAACAACGATGGTTAACTCACAAAACTTATGACAATTAAAGAGATGGCCTCAGATGCAGTTTACTAGTGATGCCATCTAGAAAATTTTAGAAATAGTTAGATGGTTGATATGCATAAAGAAAATTTCTTAACAAATGACTAAAAATTAAATATGTGACTCCATGATAGATTATAATTAAATATTTAGTTTGTCATAAATTTAACGATTTGTGAAATATTCAAAACAGTATTAATCCATTTGATCTATTTAAAGATTTAAAACACTTCTAAAGATTACTGATATGAATGTTCACTTTACACTAAACCTTAAGTAAAGCTAATATTAACAGTTAAGATCATGAGTCAATTAAAGCTGGACTGATAGGTTCTGGGTTCAAATCTCGTGAGGTGAGGTTGTGGATGCACACTGTTGAGGAGTTCCACAGTAGAATGTGTTATGCCCCGATAAGAATAATGAGTGGTAATTTTTCGGGATCTATTTATGGACTAAGGTCGACATTTATTTCCCGGGAAATATAAATCGCTGGCACCCCTTTATAAAAAAGGTAGGGTGTGAATTGAAAATTTAGGTATCTGTGATTGGTGTACTTGTTTTGCAAGTGTGTACTCAAGTGAAAATGAACCAAAAATTTGTCACCTTTAATAATTTTGTAATTGGTCGTAAACTCTTGATCTTTGCAATCTGATTAGTTGAAATCGAAATAGGATCAAGTGCTTTGATTGGAAGTCAGAAATTGCATTTTTATATTTTAAATGTAATAATAATGAAAAATTTATTTGTGTAAAGGTAATCTTAAAAACAATTTAGACTTCTCAAGAAGAAAACACCAACTGAAATCGTAGTGTTAGTGAATGTGTATTGAGATAAATGTTTGATATCCGATCAAGTGATTTAATGTCAACCTTCAATTGAAGTTGTTAGTTATGTTGCCACTAATACTGATATGTATAACGTTAACAGAAAGTTTAGGGAAAAAGAGGAACTGAAAAGCGGTTTAAATATTTGATAACAGTGATTGATGAATTATGTTGGTAGTCTAATGTTGAATACCCAATTAATGAACAAATTATTACAGAAGTGGTAAGAATGTTTCCAAAATAGGTACTTAATATTTAGTAAACGTTGAATTTGTAAATGGGCAATCTTAGTGAGAAATAGAAAACGTTAGAAATCAATGCGGTCAATTTTAAAATCCATTTAAACGGTTTATTGTTTTGTCGGTCCTAATAAAAGCTGGTGTGTTTAATCAGTCATTTATGAATAAGCGTAATAAGAAAGCTTAAATATCTTTACATTATGAATGTAACCATTTTTGACAAACATTTGGAATGTCAGTTTAATAAGCTGTAAATAAACAAGCCTACGTCGTCTGACTGAACAAATGTCTATCGACATTAAATGTTAAAATATAAATAAGGTCTATTGCATCAATGAACATGTGAAATGTTATTATAATGTATTGTCCGTATTGCCGTTATTATTAATATTATTATTAGTAGTAGTATTATCAATACTATGAATATTATTATTATTACGTCCATTGACACGATGAAATTCGCAAATTGTGCCTTTTTTGACAGAACATTTGTTGCGTTTTCAATATTCCCATAATCCTGTTACACCTATTGTGACTGAACACTTAACTGCAAATCATGCTGACCTATATTGAATAATGACCTTAGTACTGAACGTTTGCATATATATATATATATATATATATATATATATATATATATATATATATATGCAAACGTTCAGCATTTTAAACCCATTACATTGTCAAATCCATAAATGCCGTGCCTTATTTTTGGCCTTCATTAAATCTTAGAATTATGGACTTAAAACTGTATAGTATGATGAATTTATTTAAAAGGATTGTTCGATAATTTATTTCATTTTATAGGTGTGTAAGTGAATACGGTTGTGTAATCAATATAGATTCATAACAATGAATACGTAGTTGACGATCAGACGTACGCATAGTTCTGCTTTAATGTACTTTTATTATAAAAAGACAATAAAAATTTATTAAATTTGTGTTTATTGAAATGGCGCCGCACATAGGACAATGAACTGCTCGGATGTTTGGTGATGGGTCGTAGGCACAGAAGGTATGAAACATAGCGTCACATCTACAGAAAACCCAATCAGCCCACCCAAGCATATTATGTGAGCTTGTAATTCACCCATGAATTACATTCGTACCTGAGGGAACTGCACTCGTGATTGTGACGCACATTCCCACGTACGACAGTCCAGATGCCGTCTACTATCTTACAAAATATGAAAGCCGGACATTGGGTGTTCAATGAAGCGCTTCGTGAAACAAATTATAATAACAAGAACCAATTTACCTCCTCCTTCTAATACGCTGTGACGAACCGCTAGATCTTGTACGCACGTTCCTCCAACACACAAATTTTATATAAAAATTTTGATCTCGACTAATATGCGAATCTCGCACGACATAATGACTGTAACTCGACCTTTCATAATTAATGATAGCCGTCTTCAACGCTTCAATCGATGGAAAGACAACAAGAAACAAGGTTGTTAAAAACACTTCATCCAGTTCCGTTACGTGAGAAACAACAGCGCTTGTACTTGGAACGTTACTGTCTTCCATAATGACGATTAAAATGTACATCGTCGGCATGTACTGATAATTTATAACAACTTTCCAGACATAACTAACCAATTACATAGAAGTTTTAAAACTACTCATTTCATTGGACGAAACAAGGGATGAAAAGTATTGTAATTTGAGGGTGGAAAAAAAATTTTCAGGGGGGTGGGGAACACTTTAAAAAATAAATTGCCGGTGGGATAAGATAATTCATGGACTAATACTGTGCGTATAATTTTGTCGTATAATTGTTAACTAAACTATTCATATTCATATCTCTCTTATCATAATATGATGGAAAGAAAAGTCAATTTTCGATTGATTTACTGATTATGAGTTTTATTCAAAATCACTTCCGTTCAGAGTCAATGTGATGACCATTCAGTTTAATATTTGGTTTTCCTTTCTCGTATGATATTTTATCCTGTATAATATACGATTTTCTTGTATTCCATTGATCTGAACTATGCTCAGTATATGATTTGTTATATGTGATTTCATCTTGATTATTAATCAAAATGGGTGTACAATCGATATATATATAAGTGAGTGTATTTTCTAATGGGGTTGTCGTCGTCCAGTTTTGGGGATTAATAAATCTTCACTTATACCAGTCTTCGTGTTCTTACTTCGAGTCATGGGGATTGCAGAGGTCCTTCGTTCCGAGTATAGGTGATCAGCGTTTTACGGCACAACAATCAGCGACGACCGAATATAACAGAACAAAACAGCCGTCCAGTGCTTCCAAGTTTTTCATGGTGGTTTAGCTTCAACTAACTCATGATCTCAACTATTAAAATCACTATAATATCCACAAAACCCCTTCTAATAAAACTAATATTTTGAAAATGAAGGGTGAGGCAATTACCATTATTCACTTGTAATTTATTTATTCATATTCATATATACATAAAAATAAAAATACATTCTGTTTAAGTAACAAATATGTAAAGTATCATGTTAATAATTTAATTATATGAAACATTTAAGTGATGTGTAGCGTCATAGTATTCAATCTTATAAATGTTTCAAAACAAATTTACCAGGGTATTTTAAGTTGAATGTACACACGTTAACACATATGTATAGTTTATATTATTTAATACAGACTACCAATCATATAAAAAAAACATTATTGAAAATTCAAAAAAAATTAGTACACTATTGTAATTCATTCAATCTGGGTTTGTTTGTAACCAAATGTCTGTAGACCAAATAACGATATGAAAATTTGTAATGTAAATAAACATTTTATATCATCCATCCATCCATTTGTGTTTATATACATGTGTATACATTTAATATGAAATCATGAATCGTTTTGTTCTTTTTATAGGGATCTATATGCATTTGTTAAATATGTTATATTTTATAATAATAATAGTAATAAATGTTACTATCAAATTTTTATAGTATAAATGTTTATGATGAATAAAGTTTTATGTTTTTACGATAATTAAACATGGTAGTTAATAGTATTATAGTGAGCAAGAACACAAATGGGAACAATTGAATATATATTGAACACAAAATTACAGAATCTCTTAGTGAAATCTAAGAAACTGAGATGATGGAGAAGATTTGTGGCTCAGGTGGGTGATTTTGATGGGGTTTTATTCTCCGAGCTGAATGGTTTAGTTGTGGAGCTTTGACAATGACAAGTTTAAGGTCAACAAGAACCAATCAACATCGAAGTGTACAGAACAAGCTGTGAACCACATATGAAGAAATTCGAACGCTTCACTTCTATCTGAAGTTTGTGCTGATGATGTCGTTCAGAAGAACAATGAAAGCTCCACGACCAAACCATCCAGCTTAGAGAACATAACTCCATCAAAATCTGAGAATCATACAGTAGGTTCTTCATTTGTAAAATGTCAATCCATTGTCTTAGATTTGACTGTTCCTTTTTTCTCACGTCAATCATTTTCTGTTCTCATTCTTTTTTTCGATCTTCTTCCAGGTATTTCATTTTTAATTGACGGTACATACTACTTATATCTGTTGACATCAGTAAAACACAACACAGTATTATTGTATTTGTATTATTCTGAATGATTAATAACCTATGGATTTAGTGAAAACTCATACTAACGATATTCTCAAATGTATATTTCAAAGTAATTAAGTTAACTGATATGTGCAGAAATTATAAACAGAAACAAAGTGTAACAGATTTAAGTAACAGTAGTAGTGGACAAATACTAGAATTATAACAATTCATAGTCGTATTGTATTTAAAATCGGCATTATAGTACCCAGCAATTGTATTGGAACCCATTTTAACGTCGGAATTGTATTGTAATGAAATAAATCCAGAACTGCATTAAATATGTTCTATCGACATTGCACTGAATGAATCAAGAACAAGTATCCTGTAATTACAGAATACTCAATATAAGTCAAAAGAATAATTTCAACTGATAGATTAAATAGAATAACAAAGGTGTACTACATCTTATCGTAAAATTCAACCAAAAGGATTGAGCTAATAAATTTAGTTGTCACGTACTTAGTTTGAGTATTCCGATGTGTGAATTTTACATTTCTGTATTAATCATCGCAAATATTAAGTGTAATATATGAATTAATAATCCTCAGATTCATTCAAAACATGCCAGTAGTCGTATATAATCGTTTTGAAGAATAAAATGAGTTATTGTAAGCCGTAAATGGAGAAAGATTATAGTCATTAAAATCAACCATCTTGCTCAAATCTGAATTTCAAGGTTTGTTATCACAGATCGTAAAATGAACAGTAGTAGAATATATTTAAGCGGTATGATCAATTTTGACACGTTTAAAACATTTAGCATTATGAAATATACATGATTTCCTTCACTGAAATTTACTATAACATAGATATTTCCCTTTTTTGTACTTATTTTGATACTCCTTATCAAACTGTTTTTTATATATTCATTAAAATTAGAACCATTATTAATCGAATGCAGATTTGAACGACCTTAAACGTCTACTGAATTACAACTGCGAACACTTGTCCATAACACGTAGATGTTTGAAGCAATAGCCACTGGGTTTGTGTTCTATGTACAAATGTTAATAATGCGATGCAGAATACATCAGACTTCTGAGGCACAGATAGAATGAAATCACTGTACTGAACCTTAATACTAGCCAAAATTTAATGGTAAAGTATAACTAACTTCATAACTCATTAACAGTTTAATTAATTTTACACCATCAGAGAAATCACTTAAAATGTTTAGCTAAAATTTTGTTTTGTTTACAATCAGAGGTTTACCAATATGCTTAAATACAGGATGTTTTGCAAAATGTGGATGAATTTACGTACTATGCCAGTCGATTTATAAGTAAACATGAACACCTATCCATTACATTACGTTTACTTAACTGACAGCCTGCTCGAATATCTGGGCTACCTGTTCCCTCCATCTAAATCTTTTAACAAGTTATGTTTTTGTTTGTTTTAACACATCATTGTGTTTACTAATCGAACAACCTATGAAAAGTTTACTACCTTTCTCTGTACGAGTTACAAAAAATACAATAAGAGACATTGTGTTGGCTGAAAATATGTATTGAGAAGGACGAACATTAATTAGATATGGATTCTTGAACTGCTAACATTTAAGTGGTAGTTACCTAATACTTATCGTCAGGATCGACCAAGAAATCAGAAAAGAAAACTTAATGAAATACTTTGCGCTGAGAATTCTATGTTGTACCGAAAATGTAATATTGAATAAAGCCATTAATAATAATAACTACTATCATTATAATATCTAGTTTGTTCGACTATTAGAAAACATTGCGAAACTGCCATCAAAGCAATTAAATAAATAGTCCTAATATCGGCTTTATAGGTTCATGGGGATTTTTTAGTTTGTAATTTACCTCACGCTTATATAGCAGTAGTAATTAACTTAATAATCCGCGACAAGTAAACGCTGCAAAATTTCCATAGTCAGTGCTCGAATTACGACTATTCGAGTCGCATACCGAAAATTCTGATCATAGAGACTGGATAGATTTTATCATAGACTATTAATTAAGCTTTTTTCTTAGTACTCTATATGTAATCTGTACAATCAGTTTTCATAACTATTGGTTTCTATAAGTTAACGTGAATGAAACTGTAACAGCTGATACTTTTAAATTTTATATGGAATTAAATAACGAAAGTATAAATTTCCAAGAAACCATCTCTCTAAAGTCATCCTGATGAGATTTGGCAGATACTAAACGATGATTCTCCTAAATCACCATTAATGTACTAATTCTATAAGTATCAGTAACAGTAAACTAGTGAATTAAGTGAACGTCTCGCGGTGATTAAGTTAAGTCGTAAACCTAACATGAATTCTGATGACTTAACTTTAAGATATTTCATCAAAGAAGTTGTCAGTTGACAACATCCAAAAGTTACTGATCCCTTATAACTTCTGTATGATACCTATTTTTCTTAATGTAGTTCAGTAAGAAATTTACGACGTTGTTCGTTAGCTTCATTCTTTCTTACTAATAATTGATGAAATAACACATCATTTGCTCGAAAATAACCAGTATCATCGTATATAATTATCAGTTCACTGAATCCCATCTTTTAAGCCTTTATTATCTTTGTTGAGCTGGGTTACCTAATATCGGAGTGAATTATGTCTATTGGTAGGTGGATGGAAGTAGTTAATAAGAATAGGTTTCATGTCGGTATACATCAACAATATTTATTACAGTTCAAAAAATCGGTACCAATATCTTTCTATCTAGCACACAATATGATATGTGTCAGGTTCAGCTGTATCGGTACATCTAACCATTTGACCTCATTAATTCCATTTCGAGAAAGCGTAGATTAGTGATTAGAACATTTAGTTTCCAATTATTATAGCGTGAATTCAAACCACGAGACACTTATGTTGGTTAACAAGTTTCGGTAGTATAATCTTCATTCAAACACTGCGGTATAAAGCTGAGGACATTAAACTTGAGAGCTACATCATATCTTTTAACGAGTGCTCGAGTCAAGATTGATAACTTACTTCATTTAAATGCTTTAATATTATTGTCAGCTTTTCATTACAACTAAACAAATCATATTTCCACAGTTTTCCTAGATGTTTTACACGTGGTTTGATATTAGTTTTAATTGTTATAAGATCAGTATGAAAGCAAAACCAAATCCCATTCATGATTGATTATTTATATTGTCATATGTGTTCATTGAATTTAACGTTACTAAGGCCATTTTGTTAACCCTTCACTTTTGTGTTCACTACTATTTGATCAGTACACTATCTTTCTATTACTTCATATTACCTGTTATTCATGTATAACAAAAAGCCATTATCCGTTTTGTTATTATTAGACATACTAAAGATTGACTCGCAGGTTGCTATTATCATTGATACGCTATGATACTTGATTTAAGCTTGTGATTGTTACCCATGTGTTCCAATATTATTGACCTTGGAGTCAGACTATCGTAGTGATTCGGAAAAATATCTTTTAGAGCAGATCCTAGTTAGCTAGGCAAGACTTTCTTGATAAGATCCGATAAGACACTTGTACTAACCGCTTTATGACTTCATATCTGATGGTTTGATCGAACTCAAAAATGTACATGATTATATATGTTCAACTAGAACAAAACGCACAATAATCAAGAAATAAGATATTCAGGGTATGAAATTTGAATATTAAGCTTACGATTACATTACTGCGGGAGACATGACAGTAGCTTATGAATCAAACAAAAGCTTGTAATTAAGGAAATGTGGAAATCATGATGAACATAGGAAAAAGCTAAAAACGACACGAGAAATGAATTACGTCTTAAATCCCCATCTTAAATGCAAAGTTGAATTGTTCAGATTATATTAGGGGAGTCAACGACCATATAAATGTTTGTTTACCAGGTTGAGTCACAACTGTGAGGACTAATGAAAGTCTTACTAGATTATGCTATACCTCAAGGAAGAACACTATAACTTGATGGAAATAATAACCAGTCAATCATCATCAACGTAGAACGTGTGCATCGGCCCAAGCTGCCACATTACATCTATGAGGATGAAACTGACAAGATGAACAACAAATCAGAATATTAACAATTATAAAAATCAGACTAAATATAAAGTATCTGATTTGCAGGAACAGGATAAAATTACACAATAAGAAATATGGGATCATAATAACATTCAAGATTTATGGTAGGTTGGGGAATAAGCACATCTACACCATTACGACTGATTTTGATCTATGTCACTTAAAGTCACAATCACCACATATATATCAATTAAGTAGTGTGCACTTAATAACACGACTTAAATTAGCAGATAATGGTTTCATGAGTTCAAATTATGTCTTGGCTTGTCCGTCCCTAACTTTCTTCCACCTTACTCTAGCACCAGCTACCAATTGTGTTAGGGAGGGTGGTGATTAGACACACGTTTATAATAAATTTGACTTAACACAGCGCTCTTAACTTCGATATTAATCCGTTTTGGCTAGTATCAGTAAATACTCAAGGTGCATACATCTGATTAAATGACAGGGTTATTTTTTGGGTATAGCATTTATGCACACTATAATATTTCCACACAAAAAAGAGCAGTTCATAATTTTATTTATATTTTTTATTAAGTACAAATATAACAGGCTTTAAATGTTATTTACCAGAAGATTTACTGTTAATCTATTTTGAAGGAGTATCTCCATCTCCAAACGTAGCCCTCCAGCCTAGCAGAGGCCATTTTATGTACCTGCTAGAATTTAAATAGTTCTTGATTTGTGGTAAATCCTGATTAAAAAGAGAAAAAAGTGGGTGAGAGTCTGCCAAATCAGATGAGAAGTAAAAGCACTTTATCACGAACTTACTTCAATGCATTGTTTGAAACAAGCTAATTTTGGTAACTCGTTCAAGCACTGTGAGTCCATGTATAAAACCACATCAAGAGTGTCGTATAACATAAAGTCAGGATGAGTTACCTGTGGAGATAAATTGGTTATAAGAACTCAAAAAGTAAGTGACTATACTCGTTTTTAGCTCATTTAAAAATAGATCTACTGTAATAGCCAGAATAAGCTAAATATTGCATTACTTTAATATAAATATAGACTTTCAACCTAAAAATAAGTCTATCCCAGTGATGTGAGCAATTTATCTGAGTGAATTACGAGTTAAGTATTACTAAACATTTCCGTTATTAGCATCTACAAAGCTCTCACATTAGAATGACTTGAAGAATTTCTATGATTTAGCTTGAAATTGTAGTGTGTTTTTATTTTGTCATCTAGCTTTGTATACTGGCATGAACGATCACAACTTGAACCAATGTAACTTTTGCTGATTCCCGAATTTTCGGTGGAAAATTACGGCTGGAATTTGTGAAATGTATATCCACGTATCCTTTTAAGCTAAAACATGATCACTCATAGACATAAGATCATCGAAGTTCGCTTTTAGACCAGATAGATACAACTAGAACAATCAAATGAAGGTCAAGTCATTAAAATTTGATAACTTACGCAGTTACCGTTCAAATACGTTTTGTTAGACAAATGATCTTCGAACATTTTCAGCTTCCCACGAAGTTCGTTGAGGAAATCAACTTTGAGGGTTTTCTTGAAATAGGTAAATTTTAATTCTAGCTCACATATTCCTTATTGCATGCGATTGTCCAAATACTCGTCTTAATATCCAAAATCTCTCCTTCAAGCATCGAAATTTCTGCACGTTCTTCTGGACAAGCCCCCACTAAGAACATAGATTACTATTTTAACTTACACATGTTGTGTTTGTCAGCTATATAACGTATGATAGCCATAGATTGTGTTAAGTTGAAATCACCATCAATATAATAAGGAAGCTAGATAATTAAATTATTACAGTAAAATGGGTGTTCTACATTGGGAAACTTCAGCCCTAATTTAAATTTATCGTTGCGCCAGGCATCAACTTCATTACGATCATATGCATGTTCCTCATATGTTTCTTCAAGGTATTCCAAAAGAAGTCTAATTGGTTGTGCGAGCTAAACATTAAAGTAGCTTTTAAATTATGTACACAAACACAGCGCATAATTATTATCATTTGTCAGATGCATAGACTAATTAAATGATAACAAGAAAGTTGCAAAAATTATTCTAGTAAGCTGGTGATCGCTAAATGAAGTCACATGCATAATCTAACTAGGGGAATACATAAATGTTTGGTTTAATATATCAGAACAGCTATTCATACTGAGTTCATTTCATAATCAGCCTACAAAAACGGCACATGGGAGTGAATTTAAAGTAAGTAGATACTTTTTAGCTACAAATATAATAAAGAGTCAAATCATACCCTTAGTACTTTATTATAGAATTTTGACTTAAAATATGAGAAATTTATTGCTGTTAATCACAAGTAGAACTGTTTTTGCAAATCTTGAAGAAAAACAGAAAATTTCACAACAAAATGATTACCCTTTTAAGAAATAAAAGATAAATACTTCAGTAATAAAGTGTACTAATTTTTCAGCGATTATAACTATGTCATCAGCAATGATTTTTAGTGTCTTGATAAGCAAAGACTTGATCTTAAATGTGAAAAGCACGTCAAATTTATTTGTTTTTATATCACAGTATGTTATTACTAGATCAATTTTACTGAAAAAATGAGATTTTATCATCTGCATCGCTATAGTTAGGCAACAAAAAAAAATGCTTTCAACTAGCAATACCTTTAAAGAAAACTAAGCTTCCATTAAACATATAGCAGTAAATAAATCCCCAAAATAAATAGCCATACAGGTCTTCGACATTGATGTTGATCTCATTAGTTTTACTGGAAGCCTTCTAGCTGAAGCCACTCAGACAACAATTCGCACCAGATAATCATTGGACATGCAGTGCCTCACAACTAGTCAGCTTAGATTACATACTTACATACATACCACTTTCCAAATATATATATATATATATATATATATATATATATATATATATATATATATATATATATATATATATATATATATATATTCGAACCACTTCATTCCTGACTTTGGGTTTGACTGGGCATTACAGACAACAGCGTTGTCAAGCCCTGAATATCCGTAATATATTTAAGCACTCACCTTTTGACAACTCAGACTAGAATTGTTTTGTTAACGTCAGTAAAATAAATCAAGAATTCATTAAAACTTCTCCATATTTCTCTACATTAACAGAGTTTTAATCACCATATCAGAAAACACTTATTAGCCCGAAATTCTTACTTATGAACCAATGGTGAGAATCTGGGCTGGACACTGAAAACATTGATTAAACATTGTTGATGATTTTAGATTCCTAAATATTATTTGATAGGGAGGAAATTAGTGAAAGGTTATATGTCAGTTTTAAATATCTTTCATTCAGTTGATTTTTGTTGTAGTTCAAGTTGATTCCTTCCCATTCGACTTTGATTATTTCAGTTTGATATTTTTCAGCACAAAATTAATTTGTTCTAATTAATACATCGTGATTTTCTGTCACTTTGTTCAGTATCATAGTCAATCGAATTAATTTTCAGTGATTTTGTGTACAAGTAACACAATTATTCAATTCAATAACTTCTGTAATTGTTATTTAGTGAATTTATTCGATACATAACCGAATGAACACAAAGTTTGATTTTTTTGCGATTTCACTGGTACGTCATTCTTATACAAATTCCGAAAGTCTTGTCTCTTTTATTTGAATACAGATTACTAATATACAGTGTCATTTGTTGGCACAGACAGTGTAGTGTATTCGGAGAATCTTCCAAATGATGCTAATTAGAAATTATTGTAAACATCGCAAAACGGCATGAACATAGTACTTAAGGATATTCATCTGTTATTTTAGCTTATATACTACTTTGTATTTCGTTCTCAGTTCTTTAAAACTTAGAAACCTATTTCTGGAATATAATACTAGTTAGCAACTTATCCTTTTACTATTTTTCACAGTTTTTACTACATGTCAATAATTTCACTCACAATAATTGTCGGTATACTAAGTGAAATGAGTTGGGGTGAAGAAAGTTCATGTACAAGTTTTTTTCGCTGATCAGGTTTAATGCAGATAATAGTGTGTGATAAATAACTAATACATTTACTGGTCAGTAAAACGACTAAATATACTGATCAGCAGGCGTTAAAATTCATTTAATACTCGACTAGGTTCATCGATCAACTGCTGTCATGATCTAGAAGTGGAATATATAAATGAGCGCTTATGATTTCACTCTCGAGTACAGTGTGTCTAAAAGCATACTACATGCAGATTTTCTGCCACGCAACTCATATTTTGAGAAAAGACTTAAAGTGATTGTATGTCGCTACTACCATTACTGATTGATAGAGAAGTTGTAAAGGATAGTCATATTTTCAAACTGCCATAAATGCAGTGAAGAGGTTGAAATGTCTATTGCAAGAGTAGCTTTCCTACGTTTTGTAAAGAAGAGAAGACATCACTACATCCTGAAGATTTTTTGACCCCCACCCAACACTAATATTTGCAATACAAGACGACCTTAACTCTACTCATTTAACAGCAAATAAAACTGCCCTGAATGTTTACATAAGCTATAATAAAAATAGGCCTATTTGGAATTCTTGGCCTGCATCTTATGAATCATGACAACGTACTCATGTGGATTTCCATGGCACATTTTTAAATTCAGTATCGTTTGGTTATTATAGATTCATATTACACAAGTGTTACTCACGAGCAGTCCTTGCAAAAGCTTTACTCAAAAAGCAATGAAGAGGACATAGAGTCGTAGAGGGATACCCAATATATAAGTAAATGATAATGAAAGGCAGCTGTCTTACTGACATTTAGTGGCGTTATCAATCTACAATATGGTGATTGTGACGACAAACTTATTTTGTAATTAGTTTTTGATACTACTTGCATATCTTTCATTATTTACTATAGTTTGTACATTTACTAAGAGTGACTGTAAAATAGTTGTTTAAAATCGCATGACCTTGAAAACTTTCTTTTATGTTTTGAATCCCCCATAGCACGACACTAGTAACCGCTCATAGATACACTGCTACACATATATGTCTCTCGTTCCTAATTTTCCGTTGTTACGATTGCTGAACTTTAATGTATTTATTATCTACATTTACAGACCACAGCTATATTCCCATTATATTCTTTGTGTGGATAAACAGCTTTAATTATAACAATAGTTATTGGAACTATTAATTACTTATAATTGTGGATTATTATACCAAATGCAACTAGAACACTCCAAGTCCTGACATTTTAAGTAACATCCAGTGAATTTTTCTTGCGTTTATAAATTATATTTAATGTATTAAGACCTTAATTTTTGGACGTAATAACTTTGTTATTACTTTTGAGTTGATATATTTTTGGTCTACCACAACAGCACCACATTCTCAGTCCAAAGGTTTATCAGAAAAGTTTGTCCAAACTCTAAAGAGTGCTATCACATGAGTGAACCCAGGTAACGAAAAATTACCAAGGAGATGAATCAAACATTTCACACTCCAATATCGTAATACATTAACAAAGTAATTGGTAAAGACAATCGACGACACGTGGACGAAAGAGTAAATAAAGCAGAAAGTCTGTTTTCTCCTTCACGTCGGTTATTTAGGGGAAATATCGATTTTTCCCCCTTACGTTCTGTGTTTGGGGAGAAGCTGTAGACAAATATACGTAATGTGCCGTGTTTGAATATGTCGTTTCGTATACTTACATTTTCACAAACCTCTACAAAATAACGTGCTGTGGTCATATATAGACTTATAACAGACGGTGGAATAAAATAAGAACGGCTTTTATGAAAAAAAACATAACTTGCTTTCATTTAGTCAGGTTGCTAGTGAAAGGATGATCAAAGGTAACTGACTTTGGCAGTGATTTACGTTGCACGAACAGCAGTCAACACCGAAATTAGTTGTAATGAGATCCCATCAACTGTAACAGCATTCTCAATGGTCCAACAGGCGTTACAAAAGGCAATGCCAGTGGAATAAATATTTCATGTTCAACTTCGTTCTCAATAAGTATTTTTTTAAACATGCGCTTATTTTCTAACTTACATGGGAAACTTTTCGAGTGAGTGTTGAGAAAGCCTGTTTGCTTCTAAATGCACTTGTAATTAAGTACACGTGCCTAATTAATAACACAACCTGTTCTTTCTTTTTCAGATCTTTTCAAATTACGATAAGACTTGGTAATTACAAGTAAGATACATAGTAATCGGTGCTCTAGCATCAGTCACCTACCCATAATGCTTTACAATATGACTTTTTTTCTTTTCAATAAATTTCTATGAAAGCGTACAATTTTTAACGTCAATCGCAGTTGTCGTGTGGTGTGTTATGTAAATAAAAGCGAATATAAGAGACATATGAGTTAGACCAAAAGTGTGGTAAAAGCTAAAGCGACTTCGGAAAAACAGGCGTGTATTTAGGCGAAAAGGGGACAATTTTAAGACATGTAGAACACATGGCAACATAAAGAGGGAAAATTCATATTATTTCCTTTTGTCAGATGATAAGCAGACATTTGTGCGCGTTTCCTCTTTATTGGTTACTTGGACAGAACCTTACTAAAACTCCAGCAATGTAAAATAAATGTAGAGCCCTCCTTTTTAAAATGGTACACTTACGCCTCTGATTTTCCAATAACCCAGTTTAGGTGTCATGACCGATAGATGTGATAGTAAGTCATGACACGGCTTATAAGGTCGACTTGTTTTACTGCTACCCAAGGCTATCTAGTTTCTACATCCAATATACAATTTACCCCTCGATTCAGATTCTTACATCGACGGAAGGACGCTGACGGCCTGTTCTGGATTTTCGCTAGTGAACTACTGTGAGTGTCTAGTCTTCTATAAAATGAGTCAACTGAACGTTAGAAGTTTCCAAGAGTTGATGACTTGATGCAATGTCATAGGTATTGTGTTCATTGAGAGCCTTTTAAATCTCCTGTATTTTCCTAATCTAGTAATAAAGGAGATGAAACATATCAGATGAGGAATTATTTTTAAGAATTCGAAACAACTAAAGATGCTGTTGATATTCATTGTTGAACAACACTAACGATGTGACATACAAATGATTCTTGACAAAATTGTTTTCTGTAACGCCCAGTCAAACCCAAAGTCAGGAATGAAGTGGTTCGAATATATATATATTTGGAAAGTGGTATGTATGTAAGTATGTAATCTAAGCTGACTAGTTGTGAGGCACTGCATGTCCAATGATTATCTGGTGCGAATTGTTGTCTGAGTGGCTTCAGCTAGAAGGCTTCCAGTAAAACTAATGAGATCAACATCAATGTCGAAGACTTGTATGACTATTTTATTTTGGGAATTCGCCACTACATCTCACGTCAACTCTTTTGGGTTGATGATGATCCGAGGACGTAATCAGGCAGACGTTTTGTGTGTGTGCTACTTATGTCAACATAAGTAGTATATACCACTACTCGGGAATAGAATGCCTCGTAGTATAACTATTTAACTGCAGAGCTAGCAAAGTGAGGTGAACATAAGTAAACTCAGTAAATTTATTAGGTGTCGTACTCATACATGAATCCTAGGACTTCAGGGTTCATACAGTTATGAACCTCATGGCCAATTATCGGATACTGACGAAGTTTCATTGAGGTCGTTAAACATTGTATAATCCATCGTAGACGTGTTGATTGTGTCGTTCGATCATGTAGCATTAAAGCCGACAAAATGTTTACTTCCAAGTAAGTGGTCTTATGCCAGTCGATGTTCGACGTTGTCTCTTTTGGTGCAGTATATAGATTCATGACAAATAACTTAGTATGGTCCTTAGTTGCAGCTTCAACAGATCGGTGTACCAATTTGCGAAAATAAAAAATATTAAGTCATAAAGCAGATTTAACGACAACGCCAGTTCTTTGCGGTTGGGTGAAAAAAAGTTTAGTTGAACGTATTGTGTTTGCGGGCCCGCTTGAGTAGGAAATTAAATCCACATTCGGAGGTGAAAAAACGTGACATCACCTGAGAAAGCTCAAAAGGCATGCCATGAGTGTGTTCACCTGAATGCATCCAATGTCAACACTCCCTGCGCTGTGGATCCCTTACAACATGAGTGGACGAGCACCTGTCCAATGTGATACTTTTGCAGCTGAGATTAAGTCGCTCAACTTTCTATGAAACCGTTCTACCGACCCATCGGTGGAAGAGTGTCATTCAGATTCGTATTATCCCTAAATGTTTGGTAAAAAGTGAAGAAAATACGGATTGAAACTGGTCTCCGCAGTGGGTGACAGTTGAAGAGTCGACGTTTTTACTCATCATTCTACGAAAGCGCAAGCCACCGTTCCAGCAGTAATGCCCTTGATAGGTACTGTTTCTGATCACCGTTTGAAACAGTCCATACGAGTTATAGGATTAGAGTATTCATGTGGATCTGATAATCGTTCAACTAAGTCATGATGAAAATAGTCAAAACGGGTGTCAGTAGCTGTGAGGAAGCATGGTGGGCATTTACTATGTTCAACCACCTTCGATTTCTGACAGCCAATATAAGAGTGTGCACGCTTCAACACGTCTTTATTCATACTTTCCTAACAAGAACGCTCTGCAATGAGCCTGGTAACTGCCCGAATACCCGAATGAAAAGTGTTATGCAGAGCACTCAAGAATTCGGAATGATAACGTTTCGGCAAGGTAGGATCTTACTTACCAGTAAGTGAGACGAATAGTAAAGTCTCCCTACCTATTTCTTCCTGTTTGATCTGTAATTTTAGAGTTGTAGATGATAACTCGTTTTGAAGACCATTGTTTACCTTTCGAATACAGAAGCGTTTAAGATCGATTGTTCAGAAACTGTTCAGTGAATATATAAGAGGGGATTCTCTTGCAACCACATTGTTTACCACAGGAATATGTGTGTATCGTAAGTAAACTGGAGAAAGTAGCTCGTTTTCCCGACTTCGAAGGAGAGTAACTGTTCGAAGATGAGTCACTAGAAAATATAAGAAGTTCATTATAGATGTAAAGATCGAATGCCCGGTCATAAACTGGTTTTCAAAAATGTCTTACGGTAAAATACATGGCTAGGAGTTCACTACTGAAAGTGTTATATCTCAATAAGAGTGCCAAGGACTTTTAAATCGCTCTAAACTATTTTTTCGGACCTCGTTCATTGAGCCAGATTTTTCTACTGCAGTTAACTGCGCTCGTGGGACCTCCATCCCATCTTATGAAAGATTAACTGCGGAATAAGCGATCAGGTTTCAATATTATCTGGCCTGAATTGCATAATAGGAATAAAATGCGTAAACCAACCGTGATATTTGAGGACAGAGAATATCACAACACATAAACAGATATATATATATATAATGTTAGGATTAAGAGAAGATTCATAGGTATCGTTAAGGCTCATCACTGAAAATGACGTTTCTGACATCCCCAATGTCCGAAACCATTCATAATACGATGCTTGAGAAACCCGAATCCAAGGATGATGGGATAAGAGCAATATTTGAACAACGGTTGATGTGCCATTGTTTTTGGAATGTAAATTGACTGGTCGTCATTAGAAATAAGCTTCATAGCCAAATCAAAATTGATGTGATGAAGACGCTTGACCGAGGGCACTCAACTACGTCGTTTACCAGCATAAGTAACATTCAAAATAAGTATGGAAGACTTACGGATCTATTTATTCAGGCGATTTGTTCGCCACCACAGTTAACTAATGCTTATAAATTCTTCAGGTATTTGTCACTTCTCAGATCTCTGCATACAATATTTTATCGTTATGATCCCTCGCATTGCGCCAGGCGCTTAACCAAATAGAACTCGCGAGGAGCGGGATAATGGATGCTCACTGCTGAGGAGTCCCATACTAGGACGAAACGGCCGTACAGTGCTCCCAGGTTTTCTATGGTGCTCTAGCTTCAATGGATTCATGATTTCAATCAGTGAAATTTCTAAAATCTCCACACAATCCCTTCTGATAACTCCTGAATTGACTAAACGTCGTCTAGTCGAGTGACTGAACTATCGTCAGTTGAGTAGCAGCAGTTATCTTATACAGTGTCAAAGGAAAAAAAATGCGAGTGCAAAAAAATCAGTCGGAATATGCTTGACACATAGGTATTGTCTATCGACCACTGAACATTGGAGGGAGTTTGAGTTGTTTCGCACTCGAGGTTGTTCGAATATGTAGTTAAAAACGTAAGAAAGTAAATGGATGGCGAAATGACCAAGACGCCGAAACTCCAAAGTTTCCCTTATTCGGTTTTCGTGAATTCTATGATGTGTGAGTTTACGACTGTCGCATCAGTTTTAGTCTCATTTGAAATTTAATATTTATTGTTGGAATGTATACATTCCAACAATAAACTTGATATTATAGAATGAAGTGTCGTATGTTGTTATTTAAATTCATACACAATAGAATCACAATTTTGTCTTTACCGTCTTAGAGACGACTTTCAATCGTCTGATCCCAAGCTCCCAATTTTGGGGAAATTTTGGGGAGCTTTGAGGATATTTTGGGGAAATCCCCAAAGTTAAACAGCCTTCCCCAACGTTTGGGAAAATCCACAATTATTGGGGAAATACCCATAATTTTGTGGAAATTTAGGGGAAGAAATCCCCAAGGTCTGGGGAAATTTTGGGTAAATCCCCAAAGGTTGGGGAAATTTTGGGGTTTTTGTGCCATTTCCCCAAAGTTTATAATGGCGGCTTCCCCAAAATAGGTAAAATTTTCCCCAAAATTGGGAGCTTGGGATGATGTCAAACTTAAGTGAGCCTCCTATATCTCATAAACGATTGCAATATGATCCTAAAACATGCGTGTGGGTATTTAGATTTTGGGTTTACTGATTGAGTCTAAGAACTTTTTTACTGCTTCATTTTTGTTTTTATACTCATATGTAAACTACTTGACGCTACATACGATATCTTCGATATTAGCTCTCAAGGTTTGGTTACTGTGTGTGAGTGAAGTGGACTTCATATTCGACTGTCTTATATCTGTACTAGCAATCCTTTTATGCAACCGTATGAGATATTAATCTACAGTGAATATTGTGCTACAGCTTCATAAGTAAAAACTCTCTGGTCATTTCCACTTATTTGCTACATACTTATTCCTACCGTATAATAGTCTTTTAAATTTAACCCGTTAGCACATTTGCACTGATGGTTAAATGAGGCTTTGGTTCTCCTAGGATTGTTATTTTATTTTTGTTGCTATAATCAAAAGCGTTATTCTTAATTAGGAATCTTCGACGAGACTATAATTTACGAACGAACCAGTCAGATATAAAATAACGAGTCTTGAATTTCGGCACGAAATTCATTCATACATTTGGCCGTATAGAGTTGTGGCATTATACCGGATTCCAGTTCGTGATGGAAACCCTAAATCTAATTTTCATTTCTAACCATCAATTGTAAATTATAATTCTAATTGGTTCATGACCCTCATTTAGTCCTAGCCAATTGGTGTCCATCCTCAAGGTCACTCCAGCTCCGCTCAAACGTCGTCCATAAATTATAGTCCCACCGAATCTTCTTCCTGTGATTGGTCTCAATATCGTAGGCTGATTACACATCACTATTACCACTTATGGGTTACAAGAACTTCAAAAATACCTCTCGTACTTCTACCTAAACTCAACCACCACTTCTATGGTAAACGATGCTGTCGGTAATATTCGCAAATAGTTGCTTCCAAACATTTCGAGTTCCTTCTGTTTTTCTGCACCAAATACATATTTAGTCTGGATGAATATATGCATGAGGGAATCGCTTATTTATGCAAACAAGGAATTTGTTTAACTTTTTTATCTTTACTTATATAATAACATAATTATGATTCTCAAAGTAATT